CTCTCTCTCTCTCTCTCTCTCTCTCTCTCTCTCTCTCTCTCTCTCTCTTCTCCTCCAGCATATTTTTAATATGCAACCGTATTCTGATTACGATCCTTAACATTCTGATTCTTAACTATTCTGATCTTTAGCGTTCAAATTTGCGTCAAGAACCGAATTAAGAAAAATTTCTAAAAGATGACTTGAAAACGTTCTACGCGTGTCTTTTAAACTTTTAAGATATTTTTTTAGAAATTTGTCCTACTTGGAGTATAGTCTTTTGTATTCTTATATCATGTGTTAGACGAGCAATTAAAGGGTCTAAGGACCGATTGTTCGAACTTCTTGATAAATTAACTGATAATTAAATTATATGTCTCTGTCTGTTTTCCCTTTAATTTAGACAAAAATAAACATATAATTTAATTATCAGTTAATTTATTAAAAAGTTGGGACCCTAAAAGCTTGTTAAACCCGTTATTTCTGCGCGTGACGAGCAAAGTAATTCCACAGTCTCCGCTATGAGCCGCCACTACGTTTCCGCCATGAAAGTGAGGTAGTAGTATGACTCAACGACGGATCAGACATACATTTATTTTTCTCAAGTGTAACGTAACTCTTATCTTGAAATTGTACATTTTTTTTTTTAGTACGTGCGCGTAGCAAAAGACGAAAACTCTTGATGTTTTGCGTCCTTTGCGTTCTGTCGTTTACTCTATACGAAAGTAATATGGTATGCGGGGATTATTCTCTCGTGCGTATATGTCTATGCTAACGTCAGACGCGAAGGCATACGCGAAGTTGAGTGCGCGACGAGCTCTGTGTGCGTTCTGCTGTTTCTTTCGTTCTGTGTGCGTTTCTGCTTTTCCATTGAATCTCACCGAGTAGTGTCGACGCGATTTGTGTGTCGCACACCATACGCGTAGCAGACGTATGCCATTCGCTGCACTCACATCGGCCTTGACGTTTCGTCGCGGTTCCATCGTGAATTCGTAAGCACCCTGCCTTCGCGAACGAACGTCTCGACCCATTTTTTTTCCGTATCTCGCGATCCTAAACAAACGTGCCTCTCGCGATCCGCAATGGCGGAGACAAACGGGGCCGCAAATTTAAATACGAAAAACGGCAATTTTATCTGCGGTGTTGTGGAAGGTACGTAAAGATGTCTAGCTCGCTGTCATATTTCTTGCGAAAACGATCGCTGGATGGTAGAGTCCAGAGACGATCGAGCGATGCAATCTTCTCTTTTATCCGCCTGTTTCTTCCCCTTTTTGCATTATTCATACGACACGTAACATATTTTTTCGTTTGCAGGCTTTTACGGTCGCCCATGGACCACGGAACAACGAAAGGATCTCTTTCAAAAGTAAGTTACTTTTGGGAGTGAATTTGTTTTGAAAATGAGTTAAAAGAGTACTAACATTTAAGAAGAGAATAGTCACTGACAAGTACCTTTATTTTTATATGTTTCTTAATCCTCTTTTGTTTTTTCTCATTACTTCTTTCCATAGTATCTTAACTTAATTTAATAACAGTAATTTAATTATATAAACAGATTAAAAAAATGGGGAATGGATTCCTACTTGTACGCTCCAAAAGATGATTACAAGCATCGGGCTTATTGGAGAGATTTGTATACGGTAGAGGAAGCAGAACATCTGACTGGTTTGATCACAGCTGCTAGAGAATATGGAATAACATTTTATTATGCATTATCTCCTGGACTGGATATTACATATTCTAGTTCAAAGGAAGTCACAGCTTTGAAGAGAAAGCTGGAACAAGTTAGCCAATTTGGTTGTACAGCGTTTGCATTGTTATTCGACGACATAGAGCCAGAAATGAGTGAAGCGGATAAAGAAGTATTTCAGTCGTTTGCACATGCTCAAGTATGTATATGTACATATGATATACACAATAGTATGTATATATAACATACACAATGCTCATATGATGTTATTTGTTCTAATGATAATAATGTTGGTATATTAATAGCCCTACTTATTAAGTATAACATATTATGAAATACTAAATTATCTTCAGGATATACCTGGTATTTCATAATATATTATACTTAACATTGTCTTTTTGATGGTTTATAGGTCTCAGTCACAAATGACATTTTTCAACATCTTGGTCAACCTCGATTTCTTTTATGCCCTACGCAATACTGTGCTACACGTGCAATGCCAAACGTTTCATCCTCAGAATACCTCAACACACTTGGCAGTAAATTAGCTCAAGAAATTGATATCATGTGGACTGGACCTAAAGTCATATCCAGACTTTTAACTGTGGAATCCATCGAGGAGATCACAGAAGTGCTCAGAAGACCACCCGTTATCTGGGATAATTTACACGCTAATGATTACGATCAAAAGAGAGTATTCCTTGGACCGTATGCTGGTCGCTCTCCCGATCTCATACCTAAGCTCAGAGGAGTCTTGACTAATCCTAATTGCGAATATGGAGCAAACTTTATAGCAATTCATACATTGGCTCAGTGGAGCAGATGCAATGTCGACGGGAAGAGGGACCTAAGTTTAAGTATGATTTTTATACATTGCCTTTCACAAGTTTTTCCTTTAACACTTTTTACATAAGATACATCTTTCTGCTCCAGTTCGAAGCTAATATAAAATAATCTGATAATTAAGTATACTAATACTGAGACAGCACAGAGAAACTGATATAAATTATTTGATGTCGCAGACGACACTGTATCGGCGGATATTAAGCTAGAGACTGAAACAGAGGATGGTGTTCTCGGCGAGGATGTTCCATCGACGTTATCGCCAAACATGTATCACCCACGGCACGCTTTAAAAAGTGCGATAAGTGAGTGGTTACTGGAGTTCAACAAGAAGAAGGCAGCATGGGGAGTGATAGCCAAACCACAGCCATGCGTCGCATCGACGATACCTATCCCGATAATTCCCTCCGTTAATACGTGCATGAGTTTGACATCGACGACGACGACGACGGTCCCTGCAACGCCTACGCCTGTGGTGAATTCCAATCATCTTCAAGCGTTGGCCGAAGTTTGTTCGAGCGTGACGAGTAGCGATAGTTTCGCCCAGCCTTCGTCCGGTCCGGTGATGAATTCCTTGGTGTCAGATATAAAAGTGATCAGCGAGCCTGTGCTAACTACATTATCCACTAATATGAGCGGCGAACCACCATTGACAGTTCTGTCCTCGTTGGAACCTATGGATTGCAACACTACGCCGAACAATTCGCCGGCGCATATAGCGAAAATCCCGGCGGAAGATGACGCTATGGTAGATAATATTTCTGTAAGTTTTTACACATTCTCAAAGACTTCGTTATGCATGTATAATCGTGTAATTTCTATCTATCAGACATGTAGTGAAGCGTCCGGGAGTATGCAGGTGGAAGTGGACAGCACTTCTCCTACAGTGAACGGTACGCAGATGATAATAGAGAACGACAGTGAGAATCATGAGAGTCCCGATAACATAGATACAGTGCCTCAAGAGCCTGCGAATATCGAGAAACAGCTCACGCACGAGGATCTGTCGTTGTTGTGCGATCTGTTCTATTTACCATTCGAACATGGCGGCCAAGGGGTTCAACTGTTGCAAGAATTCAATTGGTTGAAAAGTAATGCTTATGTCGTTATGAAAAAGTCTAAAGAGGAAGAGTCAGCATCTGAGTCAGACGTAAGTTACATGTGTTTCAGATCGAGCTAAGGTATTTATTATATGAATCTACTGTTCCCCTTTTTCACGCATGTAATGGCATGAATTATAGATCGAAGAGTGGCATCTTCGTGCAGCTAAATTAAATGACATGTGTAATGCGGTGAATAGGTTGTTTCAAAGACTCACGTACTGTAATAACCGCGAGTTACTGTACGACTTGTACTCGTACGTATGGGATATGAGGGGAGTTGTGTCCCTCTTAAATAGTTACGTGAAATGGCTGGGTAAGTTGCATTTGATTCATATAGGAGATATTATCTGATATATTGACAATACTGAAGAAATATACATTGCAGTGAATATTTTCTCAAAGAAATATCTTGTTTTTTACGAAAAGGAATCAATAAATACGATTAAAGTTGTGATTTAAACGATAAAGACGGTTGATGAACAGATCAATTCTAAAATTATATATTACACATGCTGCCCTATGCATGTATGTGTACAAAATTAAATTGTCGCAATTAATCTTTTCAATTCTACAAAATTTTTTGTTAATTATATATACACAACATATATATATATATATATATATATATATATATATATATATATATAT